GCGCTCAGGGGCTGGAGCCGACACTGGAGGGCGCTCAGGGGCTGGAGCCGACACTGGAGGGCGCTCAGGGGCTGGAGCCGACACTGGAGGGCGCTCAGGGGCTGGAGCCGACACTGGAGGGCGCTCAGGGGCTGAAGCCGACACTGGAGGGCGCTCAGGGGCTGGAGCCGACACTGGAGGGCGCTCAGGGGCTGGAGCCGACACTGGAGGGCGCTCAGGGGCTGGAGCCGACACTGGAGGGCGCTCAGGGGCTGGAGCCGACACTGGAGGGCGCTCAGGGGCTGGAGCCGACACTGGAGGGCGCTCAGGGGCTGGAGCCGACACTGGAGGGCGCTCAGGGGCTGGAGCCGACACTGGAGGGCGCTCAGGGGCTGGAGCCGACACTGGAGGGCGCTCAGGGGCTGGAGCCGACACTGGAGGGCGCTCAGGGGCTGGAGCAACCCTCGCAGAAGAGGCCTTTCTCTTCCGCCTCCGCTTTTGGGTGCGGGTTAACCCTTGGGGGCTGGACATGGACCAGGAGATGGTGCTGGTGGTGGTGGTGAGAGGGGTCCATTCCCCCTCCAGGATCTCCCTCTCCATCCTCAGACAGGAATAGTCCACCACCTCCCAAAACGTCCATGTCCTGATATCACCCAGCTCCTCCCAATCGAATGGCTCATCCAATCCAGCCAGAAAGATGTGGATGAGGGTGGTCTCACTGAACCCAAGCCCCCGGACTGCCTCAAGAAGATCTTCGGCGTAGATGCCAAAGGGGCGATGGTTCTGCCTGTGAGACAGTCCTCTGGCTGGGGGTTGGTCGATGGGTCCTTCTTGCTGGGAGCAAGCTGGGCGCAGAAATAGTCCCATTTCCGCTGAGTCCTCTTTTTGGTCAGTTCGTACTGTCAGGGTTGGTGATGGGAAATGGGGAAAAAGGAGCGAGGACTCAAATGCAGGGAAATGGGATTTTATTAAATAATAAAAATAAAATAAAATGCAAAATAAACTACCCCGAGGGGGAAAACATTAACAAAACAAATACATACAAACAGGACTGGGCAGGCTGACAAGGATGAGGACTGGAAAACCAACAGGACAAGACTTCATACAACGACAAAATGTGATGACGAACTGACACAGGACAGCAAAAGTGAGGGGTATATAAACTGTAGAAAATTAACACACAAACAGGTGAACACAATTAACTAATAATGGGTTAACAAGGAGGGTGGGACAAGACAATAGACGGGAGAGCGCATGACACAGAGACAATACAAGCCATGCGCTCACATAACACAACAAGAACATGCAGCCAATGAGAGAACTCATTAACCGCATGTTCATGACAACAAACACAACACTGAAGCACACGACAAAAGCACGTGACCACAATGTAAACACCGAGCCACGTGCTTTGACAAGAGACGCAAGACACGAGCACACGATAGATAAACACCTTACCGTGCGCTCACACTTAAGCAACGCACATACTTCATCTCAGCGCCAACCAAAACTGAAACCAACTAGACGGAGGCGCCGAGAATAAAGCAGCGCGCTGCTGACAGAACAAACACAAACACTAGTACAAGAGCGCGCGCGTCTGAGGGACGCAGAGCGTGCGCGGCCACATCAAGTGGCAGCGCGCACACTCTGCGTACACCCACGACGGCGCGCACGCGCACACAGAGAAAGAAACAGGACCAGACATGGAGTAGTGTCAGAGCTCTGCCACCAAAACAAGAATTTACAAGACCAAAGTGGCAGAACCCTGACAATCACCTTACAATTATAAGGTTCTATCTGACATTTTTGTCAAAATTGAGTTATTGACATATTCTTATTAAACAACAACTTATTTACATAATGGGATGTTGTTTATAGGTTGTTTACATTAAGAATTTTCATTAAAATAATTGTAACACACATAGTGTTTGTTATGCAAAAACTTTAAAGCTCAATATCTCAAAATCATTCAGAACGCAGATAGAACCTTATAATTCCAAGGTGATGGGTTGATTTAACAAGCGGATTGGTTCAATGGGTTGATGGGTGATTAATATGTCTGAACTGAAGTGCATTGAAACCAATACGAGAGGAAGCCGGTCAAATATAGCAGATCTTGGCTATGTTGGTTTATGGGTCAATGACAAATGAGGACATCTGGGTTTTAAAAGGGGAATTCATTTAAGGCTAACATGATGATTTAGCTTGAGAAATGTTAAAAAAAAACATTTTTGTACAGGACTTGAGGTGTAGACTGTAGTCTCAAATATATTAACCATTAAATCATCTGTTAACATGATGCTAGTAAACTGCTGGGTTTGTGCATTTAATCAATGTTGTGCATTAAATCAATGTTGTCTATTTTAATACTTAAAATTTTAATATTTAAAAAAATCATGAGTAAAAAAGTTTATATATATATATATATATATATATATATATATATATATATATATATATATATATATATATATATATACATATACATACATATATAAACTTTTTTACTCATGATTTTTTTAAGTACAGTCAGCTAAATCACTTCAAAAGCAACGGGTTTACTCACTTTTTCAACTAATCACTTCACAGTTTGAAAAATGTTATTCACATTAAATTATTTCACATTTTATTTGTATTATACATAAAATAAATGTAACTTTTATGAGCATAGGGCTGAAATCTCGAATAATTACAACGGAAAAAGTTGTATAACTCATATTTTGATATTTCTTTTATCTAAACATTTTCAAAAAAATCTACAAACAAAACAGTGTAACTCAACAGATGTCGCATGCTTTAAATTTTTCTAAAACTTCAAAAAATTCATCCTAATTCTCGTCGAATCCAAACTATAACCTGAAAAAAGCACATAATATTATTACAACCCTACTATGTTTACATCTGTGTCCACCAGCAGGTGTTGTGTTTTGCGATTTATGCTGCCTGCTGTGGTTGATTCTAATTACACAATGGCTGAGTTCTCCTATTAATATCCATTTTCAATCTCGCTGAGCACTAAAAGGTCATTATCCGCGTCCCAAGAGTGCGGCACGTGTGGCTCTCGGCCGGCCTGAAGCCAAATCAGAGGGATTTACGTCGTCCCGCGCTGTGAAATCATGTAGATCTGACAGCTCGGGGAATTATGGCTGACGACTGTTGTACTTTAATTACAGAAAAACAGCAATAATGCTGAACGCAAACTTTCCTGAAGTGTTGCAAAACCAACAGAATGTGTACACGAGCTGTAAAAGTTTTCAGAATAATTTATTTGGAATATTTTTGGCATCATGTGCATAAACAGTCTTCATTTCACTACATGGTTTTATAATACAACAACCTTCGATTGTAGTATAAAGTAGCCTTTATGCAAAACAAACATATCCAGTTGAATCCAAATCTAAAAAAAAAGAAATAAAGAAATAAATGAGATCATAACAAACTGCACTGGGAGGAACTATATGGTTTAATGCATAATAAAATCTTTTATACTCATGTGTATAGGTACATGGGGCATTCAGTTTATTTATTTAGGGATTAATGATTTCGTATAGGGTTTCTTCAAAGCACAGGCTTGCAATTAGTAGCGATATTTATGGAGTTAATATCAAGCAGCAACATGGGTCCTGCCCATTTTTCTTCCCTATTATTTTTAAGCATTTAAAATGATTGGCTAGTTCTATGTTGTCTCGCTATTTAAGATCTTTTTGGTTCTATAAGTAAGCATAATGTTACGCACTTGTTTTTTTATTTATTTTTTTACTTTCTGTAACACTTTATAATAACTTTCAATAACAACTTAAATGCTTAAAGTGACGTTTCTATGAAAAAAAGTGCTTAAAGTGAGTAATTTCACACCAAATCTGAATGGAAAAATGCTTCAACTGTTACTATTTTGAAAAAGTTGAACCGATGAATTATACATATATTGTTTAATATAACATTTTTACTTATCAATATTTCAACATCTCACCTTTAATAGATGAGGTATTCTTCAAATATTTATAGTTATGAATAAATACGAATGCCTCAGGGAGGTTGAAATCTACATTAATTAATAATCTGTTGCTCATTCTAATATTAATGAAAGTTATTAAAAAGTGTCACGCAATCTTGCAGGCCAAGGCAAACTTTTCTTTTGCGGCAACATCGAGTCCACCAAAAAACAACTCTTTTTGTCTTTCTTAATCACCCTCATGGCATTACTAACATATAACACACACATTTTGAAAAGTTATCCATTTTATCCAGCCTGATCTCACGAGGAAACATAACTATTTTATATTTATTCGAGTTTAACTCTTACAAAAATGTATGATTTTTAAAAGGAGGTGCGTCACAAACCCCACCTCTAAACCCAATCATTATTGTGGGATGAGAAAATCATACTAAAAAGTACAAATGAGATCAAACAAATTCATACGAATTAGCCACCAAATCAAAAAGTTACGAATTGGTAAAAGATGGAGCTGGTTTAATCTGTGTCAATACAGTAAAAATCTGCTCATTTTGGACTCTATTGACTTTCATTGTATGTAGAAAAACTGGACACAAGGATGAGTAAATAATTACAGAAAATATATCCATATAAATCTCTTACCAAATCTGCAGTTACAAAACCCATAATGTCTTTCATGCACTGCAAAAATTTTCTTATTTAGGTTTTTTGTTTTCTTTCTAGTCCAAATATCTAAATGTTATTACATCAAGAAGCATTTTCTAGGCAAGGAAAACATATAGTCTTGTTTTCAGAAATAATATGCCAATATTAAGTGAGTTTTCCTTAAAACAAGCTAAATAATCTGCCAATGGGTTAAGCAAAATTATCTTATGTCAAAAGTAAAAACAAGATTATTTTGCTTACCCAAAGATTATTATGCTTGTTTTAAGGAAAAACTTGCTTAATTTTTGCCTATTATTTCTTAAAACAAGACGATATGTTTTGCTTGTCTAGAAAATTATTTTTGATTCAAGAATTTTTGGATATTTGGACTAAAACAAGACAAAAAAAATCAAAGTAATAATTTTTTTTTTTTTTTTTTGCAGTATGGCAACATTTAGTTCAACCATAAATAACACTATCATCTTTAAAATCAGCCGCATGTCATTCTAAACATGTAAACCACAGTGTCTTTGACTTTTGTGTTTGAACAATAAAAGTCAATAGGGTCCAAATGTTTATATTGTTCATAAAAATGAACAAACCCGAAAAAGAAAAAGAAAGCTTTTAAAGAGGGCAAGGGTAAGTAAATAAAGACAAAATTGTAATTTTTTGGTGAACAATCTTTTCAAATGTCTTAACAAGTTAGCAATTGCAAAACTCATCCTATCTTTAAGGGCAACACTGACTTCACCTCTCCAAAAAAACAACACTTATGTCATCCTCAATCAGTCTCACATCATGCGCAACAAACATACGCTCTTCGGCAGAATACAAATGCACACAAAATAAAGTCCATACATACATTTTTAGTCCATACTATAAAAGTCAATAGGGTCCAAATGTTAATTTTGGACGCCACTGACTTTTATTGTATGTCCAAAACCCATCTATTCCCATAAAGTCTTCATACAACATGAGGGTAAGTAAGTAAATGAGGACAGAATTGTTGTTTGTAAGTGAACGATCCCTTTCAATGTCTCTGCAATTGTCCAACCGTCTTATCGTTTCTTCTTCTGCTTGAGAGATTTCCTTCGTTTGACGATCATCTCGTACAGTTTGTCCATTCCTTCATGGAGACCCTCACCAATGATGGCGCAGGCCGGCTGGACGTGGTACGTGGTGGAGGGACTCAGTTCGTGGAGAGCCAGGTGCTTCTCGATCTCGGAGACCGTCAAGGATTTGGGGAGATCCTGCTTGTTGGCGATCACCAACAAAGGAGTTCCTTGGTTCTCCGCGAATTTGGTGACTTTATGCAGTTCTGTTTTGGCTTCCTCAAGCCGGTCAACATCCACCGAGTCCACCACATAAATAATACCATCTGTGCAGCGGCTGTAGGATTTCCAAAGTGGTCTTAACTTCTCCTGCCCGCCGACGTCCCAAAAGTGACAACTGATTCCTTTGGCCGTGCCATTGCTGAGTTTGATCTTCTCCGTGTTGAAGCCGATGGTTGGAACGGTGTTGACAAATTCATTAAACTTCAACCGATACAGTACTGTTGTTTTCCCAGCTGAATCCAAGCCAAGCATCACGATGTGCAAGGACTGGAATGCTGCAATATTGGAGAAACCGTTCCCCATTTTATGATGAATATATAACGATCGATAAATCACATTGCTTCTCCAAGCTCCGGGCTTTCAGGCTGCCGTTTCATTGGTTGTTTAGCTTCCAAACTAGGATGACTTTGAGATTCAGCAGGTTACGGCCGTGTAAAGCAATCCCGAAAACATCCACACGTCAGTGGTCCATAGTTATCCCATAAACGCATCCTCCATCAGCCCCAGCAGGTATGCATGGTCGGTCTGGGAAGGGCGTTGGGTTTTTCCGATGATATGTTGTGCTGCAGACCGCAGACCTTCGCTTATCTTCTTGGTGTGAAGCGTGCACAAATAGCCCGATCAGATTTCTTCCCCACGCAGCATAAATCCAAGGCAGTAAGGTCAGGGAGCGAGGCGTTTCCTCGGCTGTGATAAAAACAAGCCGATGGTGAGAGTAGATGGAGGTTTCCCCTCTGCGCTCTGCCTCACACTGAAGCACTGCTGCTGCTGCTGTGTGTGTGCGCGTGTATGTGTGTGAGCGTGTGTGTGCATGAGGAATACAAATCTGACTGAACTCCTCCCACACAGGGAAGCAGAGGCATGGAGATGCCAGTTCAGAAAGTCATAACACAACGCCACTAGCAGAGACACCAAATGTACAGCAGCAGACCCAGGGCAAAAAGTAATAATAATAATAATTGTACAAACTGCATGAAGAGGTATTAAAATTATATATATATATATATATATATATATATATATATATATATATATATATATATATATATAAATAAACTTACATATACATACATACAGTACATACATGCATACAGGCTCATAGCCAGCCTGGTGAAAGGGGTGGTTCTTTTTTCTCTTTTTGCTTTTTTCTCTTTTTGCAGTTATTCACTTCATTTTCTATTTAATTATGAGATTTAAATGCTGCATTTAATGACATTTTAAGCATTATTTTTAGCTGGATTAGCTTGTTGGATGGTCATCATAATCACACTTTTTGATGTAGCCTATTAAAATATTTCATAGATTTAAAGTAAAAAAAATACTTTTTTTTTTTTATTCAAATGCATCACATCTGTCATTTGATAAATATATCATTGGGAAAAAAGTTTTTTAATTAAAAATGGTAGCCTGATGTCATTTATTGTGCAAATAACAAACTGAGCAGCACATTTAAATTTCCTCAGATTTCCTCAACTTTCACAATTTGCCATATAAAATAAATAAATAATATAATAATAATAATTATTATACTGCTGCTACTACTACTACTAATAATAATAATGTTTGATGATTTTTCTAGCCTCTCTTGTAAAAAGTACATTTGAAACTTCAGATATAACAACAATATCCTAATTGGTATTATAATTTGGTCATTTTTTTTTTCTTTCAAGAACCAGGTCTAAGATTTAGAATAAATGGAGTTCTTTAAAGAATGTTTTCTCTATTTAACAACAATAAAGTAGGTCCGTAGTGAAAGATGACTTTATTTATGTCAGATTTGGCCTTTTATGGGTTATTTGTAATATTTATGATGGCATTAACAGTCAAAGTGGGACAAAAAAGCTCATGTATGGGACAAATTCTGGACCTTTGTCAGTGAGAGGATGAGTCTTCCGAACCCGTTTCTCTGGATTTACTGAGTTTGATACAAATGTGGATATTCATTTTATCCTATAAAAAGTCTTGACATTTTTTTAAATACTGTAATTTAGACCATTTTGCTAAAAGACTGATAATTGAATTTTATTTATTAAATATGATTTCTTAAAATTGAGCATAATTGTGTTGTTTAAAACAGAATATAAACATGTATAAAAACATGCCACCTTTATTTTTGTCATCAGTGATTTGAAGAATAATACAAAATTCAGTTTATAATTTCATACAAAATGAACAAAATAATAAATTATAGAAACTTTTGATTTTTCCCCCATCGCTGTATAGTTGATAAATATTTAAAATGTTCTTATATAGTAATTTTAAAAACTCAGTAGAAACATTTACATGTTTGTGTGCAGAATGCAGATTAGAGATAGAATTGTTGATTAAAACAAACCGTTAAGTCCAGTCTAGGATTTTATGTGTGTCTGCTGACACCTGGTGTAAAATAAATGTATTAACAGCCTCTTTGAAGTATGTTATATTTAATACATTTCAGCAGCGTTAATGTAGTATAATTGATAAAATTTATGGCTTCATTCTTTTATAAAAAAAAATCTATACATTTAATTTACTTTATACAGTATTTTGCAACCTTTTACGGTTTCTATTTTATGATCATTGATGTAGTTTTTTTCAATTTTAGATTTTATGTTATCACCAATACTACATTAGTGTTTATATAATTTCAGTATTATTAAGCATTATAGTATTGAGGTAATAATGATTATTACGCTTTACCATAAAGTTCTATTATTCACTCATTTTCCTTCGGTTTAGTCCCTCATTTATCAGGGGTCACCCACTACTGGTATGTTTTACGCAGCGGATGCCCTTCCCGCCGCAATCCACAGTACTGGGCAACACCCATTCACTATTGCATTGACAAATACATTCATACAACTACGGCCAATTTAGTTCATCCAATTCACCTATACCGCAAGCCACGCGAACACGGCGAGAACATACAGAAATGCCAACTGGCCCAGCTGGGCCTCGAACCAGCGACCTTCTTACTACAGTGGCAAGGCGACAGTGCTAAAGTTCTATTAGTTCATTTATTATGGTTCAGGATTTTTTGTTTTGTTACATTAATGTTACATGAATGCCCTGTGAGTTTACAAGAACAAATAATGAACATCTTTATTTCGATTAACTAAGATAAATATACAAATGTACTGTCCATAGCTCATTTAAGTAATTAAATGCATTAACGAACATTAACTAATGGAGCAATATTGTACAGTCTTACCTTAAGTATGTAGCTTTACATTCTGCGTGTGCGTGTGTGTGTGACATTACAGATAAAAAAAAATAAAAAAAAAGACAACTGACTCCAAAAAGAGTAATGTTAGATTTCTGCCACTAGATGTCAGGATTGCAGAAGTATACTGATCTCTCCCCAAACAAACGAACATAATTTTCTTCAAAATTCACGCATTATTTTAGTCATTAAAAAATCATTAAAAAGTAGTCATTAAAAAAAATCCAAATTACATTTTTTTTTAAATTTATTTATTTGTCACTAACCCATAAACCAACATTTTGAGTTTTATGAAATGGGTCACTTTCCTACGGGGTTGCAGCTGGATGGGCATCTGCTGTGCTGTGTAAAACATATGCTGGATAAGTTGGCGGTTCATTGCACTGTGGCAACCCCTGATAAATAAATAAAACTAAGCCGAAAGAAAATTAATGAAATGGGTCACTTTCACCGTATTGCATTTACTCTTGTTTCCCTTCATAATATTTGCTACTGTTGTTTTTTAAAATGACAGTTTAACAGAAGAATTATTGACATTTGTCTTTAAGTCAAAACAAGTTCACTCAGGTGACATTAAGTCGACTGGATCCAGTCAGTCTGAGGAGAATGCATGTGTGTGGAAGGATGTCAATATAAAAAGGATTTGATGAAAAAAAAGAAAGTCCTGTTCCTGCCATTCTGGCAGTCTCCGAGAGGAAGGAAAGGGTTCAGGAAGGAGTATGTGCGTCTTTCAGATGAACTCAAATGCTTTATTGTGACCAAACAATTCGATCCAGATCAAAGCCTGCTTCACATTTAAATGGGCCCAAAAAAGAGCAAGTTCAAAAAATGTGCTAACGTTATTGAACAAATATAGCTGGCAGATTTACCCAATCACTATTTACAATGAGTATTTTTGTACATTTAAAATGTACTACATTACTATTGTATATGCTAGCAGTTCAAAAAAAAGGTTCAACATAACACAGCTATGACCCCAAACACCTTATCGGTAAACCACATAGTCAATCTCCAGGACTGGGAGAACTTTTAGCTTGGCATAGATCATTGAATTGAATTAGACCATTAGCATCTCACTTTAAAAATGGCGAAAGAGTTACATGAATTTTTCCATTTAAAATTTGACTCCTTTGTAGTAGGCTAAATTCTGACATCATTCACCACAAATGAGCTTTGTATTGGTAAACATTTGACTAAATTACAAACTCTGTGGATGATCAATATTATGAACAACTTTCGCAGGATCACTTTCTCATGTCGAGATGTTCATAATATGTGCGTGTGCAGGCGCTCATAGGCGCACGCAAAGCTTGAAGGTAAACAAACAACGGCTTATCATAAGCATCTCATCGATGATTATTAACACAGTTGGCATTAAGAAGAACATATAAACGTGATCTGACTAACTTCTAGCTGCTAAATGTGTCTGGAAAAATATTCAAAGGTTTTTATTCTCACAAACCGCGCGGACGTAAATGCGTCTGACTGTTGTGATTGGCTAAAGCAGACGTCTCACGTCAGCACGTTCTAGACGTGCACGCGCTTATTACGGTAATCTTCCTTCTGCATTCACACAGCGCAGCATTCCGGCAAATTGCCGCTAATGTTACAACTTCTCTTTCTGGAAAATAGCCAGAACGAATTTACGGGTATTTTCAAAAAGGACCTGTTCACACATACAAGCTTTGCAGGCAATTTTCCGGAAAGGTCTGTATCTGTGAAAGGGGCTATAGTCCCTCCAGCGTGTCCTTGGTCTTCCCTGAGCTCTCCTCCCGGTGGGACATGCCTGGAACACCTCTCTAGGTAGGCGTCCAGGAGGCATCCGAAACAGATGCCTGAGCCACCTCAGCTGACTTCTCTCGATGTGGAGGAGCAGCAGCTCTACTTCGAGCTTCCTCACACTATCTATAAGGGTGCACCCTGCCACCCTGCGACGACAACGCCAATTGACTGTTTTAATCTGTTTTAAAAGTCCCTAATTTGTTTTAAAAGTCCCTAATGTGTTTTAAAAGTGTCCCTAATGACTTTTTTGCACCTTTTTTGTTTTAAAATTCTAGCCTTTCTCCTTCTGACATAAAGGTAATCAGTTTTATTTCACAGTATTTAAAATAAAGAATGATTGATGGATG